CAGCCTCCTGTCAGCTTCCCTTGAAAGCCACCCAGCAGGTCTGGACTCCTAGAATACTGGTCAATATGCGGTTTGTCATGTATGGGGGAGCAGATGAGTCCAGGGAGCGGGTGGGGGACAGAGGGCCAAGGAAAACTGCTACTTCATTTGTTGGAGATTTTCCTCTTGCCTTATACTTGGAAGTTCTGGGAAACCTCTTGCAGAACTTCACACATGACTTTTCAAGCCACACACAGCTGAAAACAAACCAAAAGAATGCTGTGGCTCCCCCTGCACTGCCAGCCCTAACCCTAGCCTTTTGTAGACTGCACTTATTTCCACCCCATCGAAAATCAAGACTGTCAGTCCACTGACCTGCTGAGCTGCAGCCACTCACTCTAGGAGCTAAGGACCTGCATTTTCAGTTTGTTCCTGTTGCCCAGAGACTGTTCTCACCTCATGCTCCCAGCAAGAATAGATTGATCAGAAAGCTCAGCACCCAGTTCTCCTTGCTTGGACTGAACCATGTCTGGGTCTTCATTCTTAGAAGACAGATTCCTTCTGATTGGTCAGGACTGGAGGCCTCAAAGATGATTTGTGTTTTGGAAGCCAGGTCCCAAACCTTAAGAGACTTGGATCTTCTTGAATTGAATAAGGTCTTTGGAAAATGGCATTAGTCTGGGAGGCTGAGGTAGTGAGAGGTTGGTGGAGTGGCACTGGCCCCCTTTGGAGCCTGTTCCTTGTAAGTTGGTGCCAAGGAGCCCATACTCACTTGCAGAAGAAGAGATAAGGCCCTCCTCCCAGGAAGCAGGGACTCTGCCCGCATCTTAAATGCTTTGAAATCTCTTGGATGTGGAAATATATTTTCAAACATGAAAATTCAGCTGGTATAATTTCAATGGAAGCATAATCCATGTAAAATGTATTTATTTTATAATTTATAAAATACACTTTCTGTGTGTGTCCTGGTTTCCCAGTGCTGTATTTCAGTGTTTACAAGAGAGGGCATTTATTCACCTGCCTCTTGACAGAGATTAGAATTACTTCTTTACAAAAAAAATTAATAAATTTGAGAATCTGTATTCATTTAGAGAAGAAAAAATAAGAGCTCCTGCTTCCACATCCTTGCAAAGAGTTGTTGTCATTTGTTCATTTGATCTTAGCCATTTTGACTGGGGTAAAATGAAATCTTAAGAAGCTTTGATTTATATTTCCTTACTTACTATGATCTCTGTTCAGATCCATAGCTCATTTTTATCTAGGTTATTTATTTTCATTTTTAAAAATATTTTTATTGAGCTCGTGTGTTACATAAAATAGATTTTAATCAAATTTAGACCCCCTCACCCACATGTAACCCCCTTAACCCTCTCACCTAATTTCATGCAATCTGTTTTATATGTCAACTCCTCTGTGGTGAAGTATTTATATGCAAATATCCCTCGGTGTAAGTCCATTCACTGGTGTCTAGTCAGTCTATCTAGATTCACTCCCTTAAAGAAAATCTACTCACATCTAGCAATAATCAGTTTCCCATAATTCTCAGCTAAGTTAAGCTCCCTTGTTCTTTGTTGGGTTTTTGTCTGATAGAGTTGGCATGGCTCTTGTGCATGCTGTCACCACTGTTGCAAGTTCATATTAGCAAGTTCCCGGTGGCCTGGAAGTCTCTGTTTCCTTATGTTAATGAACCAACCCTGGCTCTTATGAGAATTCCACACCCTATTCAGAAATGGTCCCTGAGTCATAGGTGGGTGAGGTTTCATATAAGAGTCCTATCCAGGGACATGGACTCTTCAGTCTCTTATTTTCTAAAAGGCAGTCAGTTGTGGAATTCTGTGTGCATCACACTCTGCTGTATGAGGAAGCCTTGCTGCGGAGAGTTAAAGGATGTATTAATAGTCTCTCTATGCCTATTCCTCTTTGTTTCATGAGACTTCAGTGTAGCAGTTACACTGTTGATGTCTCACTTAGTGCTATATATCTCTCAGATATATTCTATTCTTTGTGGAATTCTGTAATAGCCTCCATTTGTTGCAAAAAGAGGCTTCTTTGATGAGAATTGTATGACACCAATACTGTAAACAAATCACTATAAAAGTGATTTTTGTAATGCTTTTGAGTGTGTCACCTAAGATCACTCTGATAGGGGTTTTCTTTCAGGATGCTTCTGTCACCATCGTCTTGCAGGTGGAAGAACATGGCTAAAGATGACGGAAAACCACCTGTGTTGAAACCCCTTCTGCAGAAAACAGCCATGCTCTCTTTCTGGACACTCTCTTGCTGCTGTGTCTCTCAACCTTCAAGTAGGTCACAGGTGGTCCCGGCTCAGACACAACTAAATTTACCTCACATAAAAATCCTTTCTACTCACTTAGGGCAGTAAAATTTGTAAGGGATAAATGACCTGAATAAATTGTTCAAATTACATTGATTTTTATTGTAGCTTTCATAGGTTCAAGAAATAGTTTCAAATATATTTGTATAATAATCAGTTTTCTGAGCACATCATAGCTTAAGGGAAGGCGAGAATTTCTAAATTATGAAGACTGTAGTCATTTTAGTAAAAGGTAGCATTATATTACATTTGTTTGTTTTTACGTATGCTTTTATTGAACATTTGTACATTTCTTTTTTTCTTTTTTTTTTGTGTCCCTCTGACCCAATTAGTATAGATCTCAAGGTATGTCTGTTAAACATCCAAGAAGGTTAGTTCCACCATTCTGGCATTTTTAATTCCTGTGTGTCATGCAGATAAATCTTGGGTAATGATCTGTTGGTCTCAAATAAACCTTATCTAGAGATATATTTCTTGATCTGTTATGTATAATTTGTCAGTAGATTGTAGGAATAATATGGTTCCCTCTGGTTTTCGTGACTAGCCAGGCATTGTTTCTCTCTTGTATCATCTCACCCCTCTATCATGATTTTCCCACTTAAGGTGCCCCCACTTCCCCCCCTTTCTTCCTTACTAATACCCTTGCTCCTATGATCCTACCTCTGTTGAGTTTCTTCTTTCTCCTTATCCCCTAGGTTCCTCATATACCCTTCCCTCCCCCCTCCCTTAGAGTAACCCAATTTTTATCCATATCTCCCTTATTAAGGCCTGTTACCTACTATTCTTCTCCTTCAGGTTATTTCTTTTCCTTTACCTCACTGTTTCCTTACCCTTGTCCTGGTTCCTGCAGTTATGTCTGTTTGCATACTTATTTATCAAAGTCTGATCCTAGGATCCACATATGAGGGAGAACATATGTTGATTTTTTTTCTGAGATTGTGTTAACTCACTTAGTATAACAGTTTCTAGTTCCATCCATTTACCTGCAAATTTCATGATTTCATCTTTCTTTACTGCTGAGTAAAACTCCATCGTATATATGAACCACATTTTCATTATCCACTCATCAATTGAGGGACACCTAGGTTGCTTCCATCTCTTAGCTATTGTGAAAAGAGCAGCAACAAACATGGATGTATAAGTGTCTCTGCAATAAGACGAGTTCTTTGGGTATATGCCAAGGAGTGGTATAATTGGGTCAAATGGTAGGTTCATTTGTAGTTTTTTAAGAGTTCTCCACACTGCTTTCCATAGGGGCTGAACGAGTTTGCAGCCCCACCAGACGTGGATGAGTGTTCCCCTTTCCCCACATCCTCTCCAACATTTGGTATCATTTGTTTTCTTGATCTTAGCCAGTCTGACTGGGGTAAGGTGAAATCTTAAAATGGTTTTAATTTGCATTTCTCTGATTATTAGTGATGAACATCTTTTGAGATGTTTCATAGCCATCTTTACTTCTTCTTTTGAAAACTTTCTGTTCAGCTCCTTAGCCCATCTTTCAATTGGGTTGCTTCTTGTCTTGGTTCTCTGTTTTTTTAGTTCGTTATATATTCTGGTAATTAAACCTCTATCAGATGTGTCGCTGGTGAAGATTTTCTCCCATTCTGTGGGTTTTCTGTTTGTTTCCTTGGTTGTCTCCTTTGATGTACAGAAGCTTTTTAGTTTGATGAGGTCCCACATGTTAATTCTTGCCCTTGTTTCCTGGGCTATTGGTGTCCGGTTTAGAAAGTCCTTTCCTACACCTATATCTTGTAGGTTTTTCCCAATTGAACATTTGTACATTTCATATTAAAAAACCCATATTTAGACAGTCTCTACCATTCATAAAACTCATAGACCCCCCCAAAGGTTTCATGCATTCTGTCATATATATATCAAAGCCTATTGAGTCAAGCATTTGTACTCAGACATCCCTTAGTGCACGCTAATTCCCTTGAGTCAAACTATCGAAAGTCATTCCCTCAAAGATCAACTCTGCTTTACCCTGCAGTAATCAGTTGCCAATGGTTCCTTGGTTAAGGATGGGGCCTGATCATTCAGACAAAAATGACACATAGAACTCTGGAAATGAGCAGTAGGGAGCATCATATAAAAGAGAGCTTTACAACACTTAGAATGCCAGATCCTTTTTAAAATATATAGCTGCACAAATATCAATCAGAACCTCTCTGTGTTGATTTTCTATAGATGTACATAATAAGGGACCTTACATGAGATTTAGAAGTCAGATATTTAGAGAGAGGTGAAGGTACAAAATCACAAGGTCAAACAGTAAAGCATCTGAGTGCATCAGGGAAAAAAACGCTAGAGTTTCCAAATATTTCTGATGATTACTGGGTAAGGCAGACTAAAATAAGTGAAATAAGATGTACTCTATGGGAACTCGAAAGAGCCATAATTTGTAGTGTCAATTTATCTAACAGCACATTTAATGACACTACTTGAGAGTACAAATAGTTGCATTAAGACATTTAAAACAATCCAAACTAATGATTACATGGACTCCTATTTTGTTGAATGGGGATATTAGAACCAACTATATAAAACTAGGTGTCTCATATGCCAATATGAGAGGAATTTACATGTCTGTGCTTCTGTGGCTGAAAAGGAGGAAAGAGATTGGGATGCACAGCAGCCTGCCTGAACATTTTCTTCAAAACCTCCCAGAAAATTTCCAAAACTGGCTTCACCTGGAAAAGGTACAGCTGTATACACCAGCTGGAGCAGCTGGGCAGCACAGCCTTGCACTTCTGCTTCCTGGGGAGGTTTTTGTTATGACTTGAATCACTGTGGGAGGGTTACTATAATACTGTTGACAGTAGTAAATACCCATGTCTTCAGGCTCCAGCATGCTGATGGTGAGAGTGAAATCTGTACCAGATCCACTGCCACTGAACCTTGATGGGATCCCAGTTTGCAGATTGGATGCACCATAGATCAGGAGTTTAGGAGCTTCCCCTGGTTTCTGCTGATACCAACCTAAGTAATTATTAATATGCTCACTGGCCTTGCAATTGATGGTGATTCTGTCTCCCAGAGATGCAGACAGTAAGGATGGAGACTGAGTCATTAGGATGTCACATCTCACACCTGAGATAAGAAACATAAAAAAATGAAATGTGTAATATTGTTGCAAGCTGATTCTCTTAGGAAGCCAAAAAGAGCTAGCCATGCTGGACAAAAACAAAGTCCTGTGCATTTCCCTTCCTTACCTGAAAACCAGAGCAGCAGAAGCCCCAGGAGCTGAGAGTTGTCCCTCATGTCCATGCTGTATGCTGATTGGAACTAACTCTTAGCCTGTAAACAGATTATTATAAGTCCTCAGGGAAGTGGGGTGTGTCCAGATCACATGCAAATCAGCAGGAATTGGCAGGGTTTGACACAGCTGTAGAATTTGGTTGATCTCATTGTTCCCCAGGTGTCCAAGACAGACAAGAGCAGCACAGATTTGTCTGCAGAGAGCATGTTCCTCTCCATGGGACAAAGTACAGCTCTAACATCTGATCCTATGGAGTAATCATGTATTTTTAGTATTTCCTAATTCTGTACCTGATTTTCTGCCACATTTTCATCAAGGACAGTGGAATTTTCTCTGAAACATTCATAATAAATCTGAAGAAATATTATTCACTACTTTCTGTGGAAAAATGTGGATATTTTTAAGCACAAAATAATTCCTGTTTTATCTAGTTCCATTCTAATTTTGGAGTGAACTTAAATATAGCAAACAAAGCATGAACTATTATGATTTATGTGTAAAGGGCAGGCTTGTTTACTCAGGCTAAATCAGACTCGTTCCTGCACATATCAGTGCTTTTTCCAATAAGCTCAACAAAACCCACCCAAATCAGGCATTTTCTCTTTTCTCATCAGAAGAGTATGAAGTTCCATCCTAGCTCTGCATGCAATTGTACAAGTCCATTCCTGGTATCCTTTAGAAGTCTCAGATTAGTGTTCCTGAACTCTATCCCAACTTAACATAAGTCTTCAAAAATGAAGGTTTTCTCTAACAAGTGTCTGTTCTTTTAAAATTATTTTTTATTGAACTTTTGCAAAGTTCATAGTTCATAAAATATATTTTGGTATTATTTAGATTCCCTCCCATATCTGGTTTTGAATACTCTATGTTCACAAAAAGTATATTATGATCAGCAATTGTCCTAACTCTCAAAAGAACCCAGAAATCTATGGCTAGGTCTAGGTCAGTGATGATGTGAGGTGAAAGGAGAAGTATTGAGGAATGAATGTTCAATGTGGAAACTCTACATTTGCTTGACAAAGCCAAAGTAGTCCATAAGGTGTTTCCAAATGGGAATCATGATATTGGTTGCTCAAAGTGGATGGTGAGGAGGGATGGGATTTAGAAAGAATTCATATGAAAAAAGTCCCCTGAAATAAGGCCAGGTATAAGCAGAGGGTGACAGGATTGTGGAAAAGAGAAACAAGCTCCTTCCCCAGAGCTGGAATAACACATGAGCATTTTCTTTGTGCTTCATTACAGGCTTCAGCTCTAATGATTCACTTTCTCGCTCACATGCTAACAAGCCATTTTCTCCATCTTCATCTCATCTCTTGCCTTTCTTCTTCCTTGATAGGATTTTTTGCATGATCTCAATACTCTGACAGCAATGGAAACCTTATGTCTAGGATACTCAATATAAGACAATATATAATTCTCTAATCTTGTGAGATATCTTGTCACTTAATTTTTATTAATTCTTATATATTGATGAATACAAATATATCATTTAGATGACTGAATATAGATCTGCTATGAAATGGAACTTTAAGTATTAAAGCAATACCCATACAATGTTCTAACGACAGGATTTTTCATGAAGCATTATTAAAAAAAAACTGAATATTTAAATTAGCTTAGCATTGCATAAACCAGGCAGAGCGCACATGCTTAAAATTCTTGCACTAAAAAGGTTGCTAGGCTACCTAATTATTTCCAAGTCAACATGAGCCAAATAAGAACCAGTTCTAAAAAGGAAAATAAGGGAAGGGGGGAAAGAAAAAGACAGATAAGAAAAACAATGAAAAATTGCTTTGTTTCTCCTAACTAATAGCTTTTACGTAAGATTATTTAAGCAGTAATTCCATTTCCTAGGTTATAAAATTAATATAACCCTAAGAAAGAGCTTGTGTCATGAAGTGAATGTTGAATATGTGGGGATGAAGAGTTGTTGTTGGATGAATGATGCCATGGGCCCAAAATATATTCACATCTGGAATCCTGTCAACAGATATAAGACTTTTTCGCCAGCCCTTCATCATCTTTGCATCTTTCATGTTGGAAATATCCAAGGGGTGCTCATCAGTTTGACCATATAGGGTCCCCGATGACTGGCAAAAAAGAAAAATAGGAAAAAAAGAGCCATCGTTACAGCCATCATTACATCATTACAAGTACTCCATTCAGATACATAAACTTGACAGAATGTTTCTTCATAATATGTGTCCTTAGCCCATACATCAATGTCCAAATGCTAAAAATAAAATTTCTCATCTAGGGTGAATTAACAGACTGTACTAGCTCTTTGTTGGGAAACTCATTAAAATCTAGTGTTGCATTCTACAGTTTATCATGATGCAAACCAGCAAGGTCAGAAGAAATTACCTTAACCTGAATCACTGTTTCATCCTCCACTTCAATGGGACAGCCCAGGAATTGGGCCTGGATCAGGATAAAGAGAGATCCTGTTTCACTGAAAACCCCTAAAATAAATTTTTAATTGAATTTTATTCTAATTGAACTTTTGATATTTTCATACAGTATAGTTTGATGGTATTTAGACACCACCCCTATCTGTACCTCCCATCACTGCCCCCACTCAATGTAATGTACTACCAAATATATGTATATTAGTTTACAGAGTATGATTTATCTCCCAAATGATATTTAGTGTGGGTTTTGTAGGAAACTCTTCTTTGCTGAAAGTAATAATGTTTTCTCCAAGTTTTCTGGTACAATTTTGATATCGTTTATGTAAAATTTACCATTCCAACATCAAATAAGGAGAATGTAAATGTTTCTTTTCAAATTAGCACCGCTTTAATTCCCCTTTGTCTTTTCCTCTAGATAAGAGTTTCAAGCAGTATATTGAAAGGAGTAGAGATAGCAGACAGCCTTAGCTGTTCCTTATTTTAATGGGAATGCTTTAAGTGTTCTCCATTTAGAATGATATTCATTGTGGGTTTCTTGATTTTAGCCTCATGTTGAGGTGTGTTCCATCCAGTCCAATCACTTATAAAAATGCATGTTGCATTTGGTCAAAGGACTTGTCTGTGTCTATTGAGACAATAATATGATTTTCCCCTTAAGTTCATCTATATGACATTATGTTTATTAATTTATACATATTGAAATACCTTTGCATTTCTGGAATAAAGTCTACTTGATCAGGATGGATGATCTTTTGGATAGTTGACTGTATGTAGTTAGTGAATGTTTTGTTAGTAATTTTTGCATCTAATTTCATTAGGTCTATTAACCTATAATTTTCTTTTTGTGTGGGTGTCTTTACTTAGTTTTAGTATTCTAGTAATACTAGTGTCATAGAAGAAGTTTGGGAGTTCTCTATTTGTTATCCTTTTGAATAATTTAAGTAGTGTTGGCTATACATCTTCTTAGTACATCTGGTAATAGTCTGCTGTGAATTCATCTGGGTCTGGCTGTTTTTATTAGGTAGGCTTTGTAGTGCTCTTTTGATTACTTTATTTACATATTTATTTTCATATTAAAATTATTGAATTTTTGTGTATTTCATATAGAATATCATCTTGATACCTCTTCCCCTTCAGCATCCTCCCACACCCCCTGCACATTGGAGTTCATAATTTCTGTCATTTGTGCTAGGCCTATCATGTAAAGCTAGTGCCCCCAGAGTCCCTCATTACAAGTTCATTCCCTGGGAACTAGTCAGTATCTAGAGTCCCCCCCTTTAAGAAGACAACTCATTCTCAACCGACAATAATCAGCTTCCAGTACTTCTTTGACTAAGATTGGGGCCTGCTGTTCATTTCACAGTTCTGTGCTCAGTTTTTCTCTGCTTAATTTTGCATGGATCTTGTGCATGCTGACATCATTGCTGTAGGTTCACATCAGAAGAGTCCCAGGAGCCTGTAGGATTATTTCTGTGTGGTCGTGCACCTCCTCTGTGGTTCTTACAATCTTTCCACCACTTCTGCAATGATTTCTGAGCCCGGGGCAGGTGGATTAATGAGTCCTGTCTGAAGCCCCATACTCTGTAGGCTCTTATTCTCTGCCCTTTGATTATCTGTGACCTTTGGCCTTTCTGGCCCTCTATTGCATGAGGGAGATTCATTGATGAGAATTAAAAGATTCATTAGTGATCCTTCTATCCCTTGTTCTATGTTCCATGAGCCTTAAGTGTAGATGTTGCATCCTAGAGGTGCCACTTAGGTTTGGGCAATTCCCAGACAATCTCTGTGTGTGACCAGTGGTGGGACTCTATAACTATCTCTGTCTCTTATAAAAGAAGGTTTTTGATGGGCAGTGACAGGAATACTTGTCCATAGATTTAAGGATCCATATTATATTTGTCTAGGGATGTGACAGTCTTGGAGTTTTCTGTAAGATCTATGACCTCCCCAACTATGTGTTTTGGGCTACACACATGAGTTCACTCCCACTGAGAGGACTTTAAGTCCCATAAGATAGCTGCGGATTGCCCTCCAGATAACACTGCCACTACTGCACCAATAGCGATATTTTGCTGTGCTGGTCATTCTGGTCACTAGGCTTTAGGGCTGGGTTGGACCATTGATCAATTTTCTTAGCAGCTTGACTAGTATCCTCAAGAAGGAGAAGAGCTAAACTTCAGTGGTCTTACCATCAAGTTCTAGGAGGTAATCAAGGACTGTGGCAATAGCCTGTGTGATTTTGGCAGTCTCTTGGACTACCCTGGTCAACAATTCAAAGGAAGGTTTCTCCTGTCTGTCACTGTTTCCTGTAATGTAGCCTTTGGCTATACCCATGGAATCATGTCGAGATACTGTATGTATAGTTTTTCAGTAGGTTTTTGGACTGATACTGTTCCCTCTGGTTTTTTTTTTATACTAGATAGGCACTATTTATCTGTCCTCTTTCTCTCCCTGTCTATCCTCCCTCCCTACCTTCACAATTTAAAGGGTCCCCATTTTCCCCATTTCTCCTTTGATAATTTCTGTCTGCTATAGTCTCACCTTTCTTGAACTCCTTCTTACCCTTAATTTCCATAGTTCCTTATATAGTGTGTGGC